AGAACGTTTCTTTATAAACTATGTTATGCAAATTGAGCTAGATGTTTCCTGAGACCATGGTCCCCACCGCTCTTAGCCCAGCAATTCAGTCCCTCAGGAAGTTTGGCTGTGTCTATGGAGCTTCTATGACCTTGCTAGGTAAAGATTTTTTAAACAAACATTTTTATTGACATAAAACCTACCTACCAAAAGTGCACAAATCATACGTGCATACCTCAGTGAACTTTCGCAAAGTGAGACATGTATCCACCATTCAGATCAAGGAAAAGAGCATGGCCAGCTCCCTGAGGTCTCTCTCACACCCTGTCCCTGTCACTAACCCCTCTCCTCCCAAAGGTAACCCTCTCCGGGGAGGCGTAGGTATTTGAAGAAGGAATTTGATTGAGTCTACAGGAAGTTTTACTGTTGAAGTACCTTCTTTGTACCTGCACAGTGTTAGGACCAAATGCAAAAGGACCTGAAAGATTTCTCATGAGTTCCATTGGTCAGGAGCCCTGGTGGCACAGTGGTTAAGAGCTATGCCTGCTAACCAGAAGCTCGGCTGTTCAAATCCACCAGCTGCTCCTTGGAAACCCTATGGGACAGTTCTGTTCTGTCCTGTAGGGTCGCTATGAGTTTGAATTCACTCGACGGCAATGGGTTTCCATGGGTCAAGCTTCTGTCTCCAGAATATCACTCTCAGAGTGGCATCTGGGGTCTTCAAAACTCACAAGTGGCCATCTAAGGGTCCCAACCCACCTGGAGCAATGGAGAATGAAGAACACCAAAGACACAAAGAAGATATTAGCCCAAGAAACAAAAGAGCCACGTAAATCAGAGACTCCATCAGCCTGAAACCAGAAGAACTAGATGGTGCCCAGCTATCACCAGTGACCGCCCTGACAGGGAACACAACAGAGCGTTCCTGACGGAGCAGGAGAAAAGTGTGGTGCAGAACTCAAATTCACATAGAAAGACCAGACTTAATGGTCTGACTGAGACTAGAGGAACCCTCGAAGACATGGCCCCCAGACTCTCTGTTAACCCAGAACTAAAATCATTCTCGAAGCCAACTCTTCAGACAAAGATTAGACTAGACTAAAAACATAGAATAATACTTGTAAAGAGTGTGCTTCTTAGTTTAAGTAGATACACGAGACTAAATGGGCAGCTCTTGTCCAGAGGCAGGATGAGAAGGCAGAAAGGGATAGGAGCTGGTTGAATGGACACGGGAAATCTGGGGTAGAAGGGGGGAGTGTGCTGTCATAGTATAGGGACTGCAACTAGTGTCACATACCAATATGTGTATAAATTTTTGTATGAGAAATTAACTTGAGCTGTAAACTTTCACCTAAAGCAAAAAAAAAAAAAAAAAAAAATCACACACATGTTGTATTTTGATGTAAATGATCCACAGAGTTCAAGTTCTGTTTAATGGCGACAGACAGACCAACTGACTGGTGGCCGTTGAGTCAATTCTGACTCATGGCGACCACGTGCGTGTCAGAGTAGAACTGTGCTTGTAGGCTTTCAATGGCTGGTTATTCGGAAGTAGATCACTAGGCTTCTGAGGAGCCTCTGGGTGGACAAAAACCTCCAACCTTTTGGTTAGCATCTGAGCGCTTTAACCGTTTGCACCACCCAGGAACATCTAATGTATCTCTGAAGGAAGATAATGGCTCAGCACGACAGAAGTTTCTTTCTTGCTGGTGTGAGCAGTCCATGGGTCAGGCAAGTCTTTCCTCCATGAATCTAGGATCCAGGTCCCTTTCATCTTGTAGCTCCACCACCCTGAGGATCTTGTCATTCCTTTCATTCCCTCAGAGCAGCACATGGCCTTTGGGACAAACCATGAACAGTAAGCCAAGGTCATACTCCAAGAATTAGCGTCTGAGTCAGTTGGTCGTCCACCTCTGTCCTGGTGCATGGCAGGTAAATTTTAAGGAGCCTGAAGAGACGGAGTACTGGGTACCAGCCTAGGGGTAGCATCAGGGGGACCCTGAGTTCCTGGGGCAGGGTGTAGTTCATAACAGGGTGTTGTTGTTGTCGTTAGGTGTCGTTGTGTCAGTTCCGACTCATAGCAACCCTGTGTACAACAGGACCAAACGCTGCCGGGTCCCGCGCCATCCTCACAATTGTCCGCTGATGTTCGTAAGGTTTGCATTGGGTAATTTTTTCAGTAGACCGCCAGATCCTTCTTTTTAGTCTGTCTTAGTCCGGAAGCTGAGCTGAAACCTGTCCCCCATGGATGACCCTGCCGGTGTTTGAAATACCGGTCGCATCGCTTCCAGCATCACAGCAACACGCCAGCCCCCCCAGCAGGACAAACTGACAGAATGCTGAGAGGACAAACAGGAGGCTGGAATGTGCGCGGGGCTTGTTGTTAGCTGCCGTTGAGTGGGCCGTGAATGGACCATTGTGACCCATAGGGTTTTCATGGCTGATTTTTTGGCAACAGCTCACCAGGCCTTTCTTCCTAGACTGTCTTATTCTGGAAGCTCCACTGAAAGCTGTTCAGCATCACAGCCACATAGCAGCCTTCACTGACAGACGGGCGATGGCTGCGCGTGAGGTGCATTGGCTGGGAATCAAACCGAGTCTCCCGCATCGAGGGTGAGAATTCTACCGCTGAACCACCAGTGCCCTCTGAATGTACGCGACTGCATCTTTTACCTCGGGTCCCCTGTGTGTCCTCGGGGAGGGCCCTGACCGCCAGGCTCTCAGACCCCCGTGAGGTCTCCGCCCGGCCTCACAGTGGCCCCAGGGTGACTCTGTTGTTCCTGCGAGCAGGACTCTGTGTCACGCTCCCCCTGCCCAATGCCAATGTTACTCCTCAGTTTGGACTTTGCTGTCTACGTGGACTCAACTCAGGGCGGCTGGTGTCTTGGGTGGCCTGATGGCTCTCAAGGTGGTGGTGAGAGGGGAGCTGAAGTCTGGAATGAGTGTGCCATGTATCTTCCCTTCCTTCATCTCCAGAACATTCTGAATTGGGACGTGTGACAACCCTGGAGCAGACTGTCTGGACCCCTCTCACTGAGCACTTTGGGGACGCTCAGGGAAGTGGGTTGGGTGTCTTTAGCTGCGAATTATGGCTCTGAGGAGGATTTTGAGGCCTCAACAGGAATAACTTCAGCACAGCCCAGTCCGTGTGGGAACTGGGGTGTTCTGAATCAGCCCTCCTTCACGCCACCTCCTCCCTGTCTTCAAGTGAGCCACATCCTTTCTCTCAGACGCCAAGGGCTGCCAAGCCCATCTCCCACACACCTCAGTGAAAAGTCCCTGGCTGTCCTCCCGGCCGCCTGGCTGCTGACCTCATGAGGTGTGAGAGGGAGGAAGGGAATCTACGGTCAGGATGAAACTTCCTTCCTCCTTTTTGAGAAACAGCCCAGGCCCTGCGGCTGCCAGGCCTCTTGTAACTTCTCAGAGCTGAAGGCCCAGCACTGTCCCTCCAACCTGCCTGGGACGTGGGATTGGGGCCCACCATCCACCCTCCCTCGGCCCTCCACCCATGCTTCCTCAGAGCAGGCCCTTAGATTGGGCGGGGTTCCTGCCTCACTTTCCTCTCTGGTGATGAGGCAGCCACAGGAGTGGCTTCCTAAGCTCAAACCGAATCCCCTCTCTCCAGGTAGACCCGACGGAAGGCTCATGGAAGATCAGAGAGTGCGCGTCTCCCTCAGGACGGGCAACTACATGCTCAAGGGGTGCCAACTCAGAACATTTTCCTGCTTTATAGAGATACCTCAGGACTGTTCAGCTCCTGGCCAACCCTCAGTGCTTCCTGTGGAGGAAAGAGCCCTCCGAGCAACACTGGGCCAGACCAGAGCTGAAGTCTCTAGCCCCGATGTGAGAAGGGGCACCCACTCCTTCAGCCCCAGCTCAGGCCTAGCTCCAGGCCTCTCCACGAGAGCTGCTAAGGTGGCTCCACCCCTGTCTTCCAGCTCCTTTTCTGAGGTCCTGCTTCCCCAAAACCAACGAAGGAGTGGTGGGCTCCTGGAACTCTTGTAACCGGGCTCGTAGTGTGATAAGACACTTTCATATGGCCTTTCTAGCCACGGTCTCGTAACTCCCACCAAAAGGTGCTTGTGGGTTAATAATACAAATAAGGTGCATGGCACCTTTGTGGGGATGAGACCATGCAAATAAGGTGTATGGAACCCTAATGAGGGAATTGGTCAGTTTTGCCATCCCCCTTGGCTTAAAATGAGCCATCCCAGATCAGAGGGGGGACCTCAGTAGCATCAAGAAAGAAGAGCCAGGAGCAAAACATGTCCTTCAGACCTGGGTCCCTGCACTAAGAGCCTCCTAGACCCAGGAGACAGAAAGCTGTAACACCAGAGACAGCACAAGACTGTGAGAAGCGGCAGCAAGACCACAAGAATCTGCGGCAAGTATGGCTGAGAAATGGCAGCAGCAGAACCAGGAGACCAGCAGGAGACAGCTGCATTCGGCTTCCCAGCCCACAGAGCAAGAGAGCTGAGCCCCTTCAGGCCAAGGCTTACTGGTGGAGCAGGGTGCCTCTGGGCACTAATCAGTGGAGCTGAAGAGCTTTGTAACACTTGTCCAAGCAGGACAGAGGCCAGGCTGGCCCATGAGGCCCACGAGGCCCCAGGGACTGCGGGGCCGAGGGGCCACGAGAGAGGCCTACCTGTGGGCATGGCCTAGAAGCTGTCTGACCGAAGAACTGTATTCTGAGTTGTTCCTGACCCTGAATTGTAACCTGTTACTTCCCTAATAAACCCCATAATCATGAGTATTGTCTGTGAGTTCTGTGTGGCCATGGCAACAAATTATCTAAATCAGCAGAGAAATAGAGAGTGCCATGGGAGGGATGGCTGGTGTCAGAATTGGTAAAAAAGTTGGCGAGAGGAGGTATGTCTGACCTTCACCTCCTAGGAATCAGCCTTGGCCTGTTGCTGCTGCTAATGATTCTCCTCCCTCCTTGTAAAGTTAGACGAGGAGGTCCAAGGACACCATGACACCATTTTTACACAGCTGAATATTTTCCAGGTTACCTAACCAAACTCCTGCAAAACCACACCGCCTATGCCTGCGATGGGGACCGCTTGAATCTCCAGTGTCCTCGGCATTCTACGATAAGTGTCCAGTCAGCATTTTATGGGCAAGGTGACCAAATGTGTAACTCCCAGCAGCCTGCAGCCCAGAGGAAAGACAGCCTAACCTGTGTGGCATCCACCACACTGCAGGTATTGCCTCTTGTAGATGTTTTAAGATGATAAAATGGTCTCAACTCTCTCTCTCTCCGTGTATGTATGTATTTGTGATTATATAGCTCACTCAGAGCAAACCTGACTCATAAATCCCAATGTATACAAATCAGAAGTTCTGCAGGTGAGCTATTACTTGCTTCTTAGAAGGATTCTTTACCAAACAAGTTGTAGTAGAATCCTTATTTATTGTAGAACTCCCTTAATACCCTTGCAATATGGATTTATTCACAGACATACTTGTTAGTACAGTCTTGTTGGGCTTCAGCCTGCAGGCCCACATCTCCTATCAAAACCCTAATACAAAAGGAAGGCTGTGGATTCTTTAGTGCAAACCACAAGTATCTCTGTGAGGCAGACATCTGAGGTCATGACCAGCTTCTTAGAGAATGTACTTAAAGAGGAAAAATATTGATAATTGTCTTTTAGGTTTTTTTTTTTTTTTTTATGGTTTGCTTCTCCAGTTGTAGATAACCACGTTATTCTCTTTGGGAGCTATTTTGGATGGTCTTTGTTGATTGGTCTTTCTACTGGATAGTACAAGAAATTGGGAGGAGAGAGGAGATCTAAGTCATTCTTTTTTTTTGGAGTTGTATATTTAGGGAAAGAGTTGGTATAGGAGGAGGTCATAACTAATGTCTCGGTGATGGAAAATCGTTTAGACCACTCCAGTTATCCAAGCAACGTTTACTTCCCTTTCCCTCCGGAACTTCAATATTAATCATTAGTTGGCCAAGATTACTGGGTCAGTTGGCTTTGGATTTTTTTAATGCCTCCAAAGTTCCATTGAATATGTTGAAGTAGGGTGGTTAGAGCAGGTGGCAAATCAGAAGTCCACTTGATTTTGTAAGCCATAGGAAAGGAGGGTAAAGCTACATTTCCCAGGAGGAGTACGGAGAAAGAGAGTTAGCTTCGTTGCTGTGTAGCTCTCTCTATGGCCTAAAGACAGAAAGCAAAAAAAAATAATGGCAATGTCAGGATCTTTACATTTCTTATACTATTTATGGCTTTCGTGTCAGTAGGTAGTCACGTTATAGGTAAAAACACCAATTGAGTAGCCCAAACAAATATATTTGAGTTAATTGGAATTGTGGTTTCCATACCCTATGGAGAAACAACTTCTTTTTTTCTGGAAGCAAGCCACTACTTTCCTTGTGCGTCCCACCCTACCCCCAATCCTTCTCCCTTGGCGCCACCCCAGAGTCATTTCCCTGTTGGCCTCCCCCGTCCCTCACCCCAAGTGCCCAGCCCACCCATCCCTGGTCCCCAGGCATCTGCTGCCCTTTGAGGTGCACAAACAAAATGTTGGGCCAGTGCCAAAAGGGCAGAAGTGCCTCCTTTGGGAAAGTATGAACTCCTGGCACCCAGAGCTCCAAAGAATGGCACCGCCCCTCACCCTCCACCATGGATGCCTGCCTCTGCCAGGCAGCCCTGAGGGAAGAAGATATTCCATAACCAGGCCGACAAGTTAGCATTTGTGAACATAATTCTGACGTTGTTTGGAGGGTTTGTTTGCCAGAAACATCCCTCACCTTGCTCTTTCATCCAGAGATCAAGAGAGTCTTTACATCGTGTCTTTTAAACTGCTTTGGGGGCCAAGGCAAGATGTTTCCTCAGGGGATGGTTGCCTAGCTTAGGGAGAGGACAAGTTGATGTGCACACAGGAGAACCTCCGTTGATCCAGCCCGTGACTGAATGTCCACAGGAAGTGCCCCTCTCAGCATTCCCCAGCTCGTAGCACAGTTAGGAACAGCACTGCCTGGGTCTCCTCTCAGAAGCTGTAATGTGTAGCGCCCTCTGGGGACACCTGAGGGCTGAGTCTTATAACCTTGACCCCTGGTCACTGGTCATGTGCAGTCATCTGCAAGCTGTGCCTCCTGGGGTCTCTCAGGGTCCACATCTGAGGTGATGAGTGATTCCTTCAGGGAGATGTTCCATGAGCTTCTGTGAGAATGTGGTGATTCAGGGAGGCTCGTGGATCTGAGGTAAATCCAGCCCCAAAGTAGCAACTAGATTCCTGGGAGAGTTTTCACTACACTTGGTGTTCTTTTTACGGGAACCAAGTCTGGGACCTCTGTGTTTATCGCGGGCAGGGCATGTTCTGTTTGGAAATCCGGAAGTGAGAGAACAACAGAGAAACGCCGGGTTTTTCTGTGGCCCAGGGTAGGTTATTCTGTGAACTTCCACAGAGCAGATTCCATAACAAATGAGAGTTGCCTGGAAAAAATCAGGAGAGATAAGAGAGATTTGAAAGAAAACTTTTAAGCCAAATGCCTTAGAGAGTCTGAGTATTTCACGAAGAATGTTGCTCCACAAGGAAGACTTGGGCCCTGTACCCTTGAATTTGGTGAGGGTGTGGACCAGCCTTTATATTATTATTTATTTGCCTGTGTGGTGGGTCAAAAGAGGAAAAGCTGGAAAGGGTGTGTGTCCCGAAGTCCTCCCCCAGATGCTGAGCTCTCCTGTAGCCTGTGTGGGCCGTTTCTAAGGCTGAGGAGCCATGATGAGGAACCCTGACTCCCACAGTTCTCTCAGCTTTAAAGTGAGGAACTTCTCTTAAAGGGACCTCGAAGTCCCTGCCAGCCCCACATCCTGCAGTTGTCTGATCACGCCTGTGTCCCCAGGAGCCGACACAATGCCGAGCTTTCGTCAGAAGTATTTTAGTGGTGCCAGTCGAGGCTGATAGGAGGTTGGTTTTCTGACGGGAGCCTGCTGCCCTTGGAGCTGGTTTCTTCCTTTGGGAAAGAGCAGGGAGATGATGGGAGGCAACCTGGTCACACACGTAGGTGCTTTCACCTCAGACACGGCCCAGAGCATCTGGAAGGTTCTCTGTGTGAACCTTGGCCAGGCAGGGAGGCGGCCCTTCCCTCAAAGCACCTGGGTTTGGGGTCTCTCGGACACTGTGTGCGTTTTTCACGTCTGTCCCTTTTCTACCCCTCGTTTTAGAAGGTCCTGGATGAGTGCCAGAACCAGCGGGCCTGCCACTTCCTGGTCAATAGCCGTATTTTTGGACCTGACCTTTGCCCAGGAAGCAGTAAATATCTCCTGGTCTCCTTTAAATGCCAACCTAGTAAGTAATTTTGGTGGGGGAACAGTGCGTTTGGGGGTGTGGGTTCTCGGTTTCGTTCATACTTAGGATGAAAATTTTCTGCCAGTCGGCATTTGTCCAACTTTGAAACCCTTGTTAATAGAGTCGGGACCCCGTCCTCACCTGGCGTATGTGTGTGTGTGAATGTGTGTGTGTTTGTGAATATGTAAGTGTATGTGTGTGTGAATGTGTGTGTGAATATGTGTGTGTACCCACATGTGCACATTCATGTTCTTACAAATCTCTGAATTTAAAAAATTCTCCCTAAGTAAAACTCAGTTGTACAGATGCTAAAAGATACCGAGGTGGTGAGAACTGGTGGCTTTCCCTCAAATGAGGAACTAGGTCTCCTTTTCAGAGGAAATCTTTTTAGGAGGCCGACCCCACCTGAAGGGCTGCCCGTTTTGCTGAGAGGGTCAGCCCCAAGGTTTGCCAGCTGGGCCACCACTTCAGATCTCTGTACACTAGCTTCTTGCCACTTTCGTCTACAGCAAGGGCTCCTGTACCGGTGTGTTATAGATTGAATTGTGTCTCCCAAAAAGGTATGTTGAAGTTCTGACTCCCCGTACCTGTGAATGGGACCGTGTTTGGAAATAGGGTCTTTGAAGATGTTATCAGTCAGGTTAACATGCGGTCGTACTGGAGTCGGGCGGGGCTGATGCAACCTGAGCTGCGTCCTTAGTAAAGAGAAGAGACAGACATAGAGGAGACATGGCCCTGGGATGTCAGAGGCGGAGACTGGAGTTTGCTGCAGCTCCCAGCCAGACACACCTGAGCCTAAGAGAGGCAGGCAAGAATCTTCCTAGAGCCTCCAGAGACAGCATGGCCTGTTGACGCTCTGGATGCGGGCTTTTAGCCTCCAGAACTGGGAGACAATAAATTTCTGTCGTTCTGAGTCGCCAATCTGCGGCACTCCTGGGAAACTATAACGGGTGCCGTTGAGTCGCCTCGGACTCACAGCGCCCCCGTGTGTGTCGGGGTGGAACTGTGCTCCACCGGGTTTCCAGTGGCTGATGTTTTGGAAGTAGATCACCAGGGCTTTCTTCCAAGAAGCCTCTGAATGGACTCAAACCTACAACCTTTCCGTTAGCAGCTGAGCCCGTTCACCGTTTGCACCAGCCAGGGACAAGAAAGAAAGAGGACGGGCGGGAGCGATCTCTTTCATTCTGATTCTTGCACTTTGCCCTGTTGTCTTCCGCCATTTCTAATGCACACCAGTTTTGTGAGAGATTAGCCCTCTGCAGGCCACAAATAATTCAGCAGGTGGGTCCACTTCTAGGTGTAGAGGGTCTGCCTGAGAGAAATTGTAGGTAATTGTGGCATTAGCGTTACTAGTAATTCTCAAAAGAAGAAGAAAAAAAAAAAAAAACTTGTTGAAAAGAAAATATAGCAAAAACATTTGACCAAGACTGTGAGGAATGATGATGTTTTAAATCCCCCAGGTCCATCTACATTCAATGAAATCAGCTGTAATGGGAATATTTACACCGGGGGAACTGGCAAACACTGCAAATCACGGTTGGTTGGTTGGTTGGCTTTTTGGAAAGCTATTTTACCAGCAGTCCTCACTAAACCAAAAAAAAAAAAAAAAAAAAAGTCAGTTGCCGTTGAGCTGATTCCAAGTCATGGCAACCCCATGTGTGTCAGAGTAGAGCTGTGCTCCATAGGGTTTTTGCAGTTAACCTTTTTATTTTTTTTAATTCTTTTATTGTGCTTTAAGTGAAAGTTTACAGTTCAAGTCAGTTTCTCATAGAAAAATTTATATGCACATTGCTATGTGACCCTAGATGCTCTCCCTATACTGTGACAGCACACTCCTCCTTTCCAGCCCGGATTTCCCGTGTCCATTCAACCAGCTCCTGTCCCTCTCTGCCTTCTCATCTTGCCTCTGGACAGGAGCTACCCATCTATCCATAGTATTTTCAATGGCTGATTTTTCAGAGTTAGATTATCAGGCCTTTCTTCTGAGGTGCCTCTGGGTGGACGCGAACCTCCCAACTTTTGGTCAGCAGCCGAGTGAGTGAACGATTTGTGCCAGCCAAAGACTCCAGCCAACCCCTTAGGACCTGCCTTTCCCAGATTTGCACCTTGCTGTGCCGCTGCTCCAAATCTCATCCCTTTGGGGAGTTCTGGTTTCAGCAAGACTTTGGATTCAGGAAGTTCTCAGTTCATATCCCGTTTTGCTGCATAGCTGCTGTGTGACCTTGGGCAGTTTAGGGAGCCTTGTGGCGCCTCCAGGACTCAACTGTAGGATGGACACAGTGCACCTTCCACATAGGGCTCTTGTGAAGACTGTAAAAATACCATATGTATGTCACGGGGGGAGCTTAGTAATTAGTAGCTATTATTCCAATAAGCAGATTAATGTAATTCTCATAAAGGTGTGAATGACTGAGAGGCCATAATTTACCAAGGGCAGGGTGGGAGGGTGTCTTAGTCATCTAGTGCTGCTGTAACAGAAACACCACAAGTGGATGGCTGTAACAAACAGAAATTTACTGTCTCCCAGTCTAGGAGGCTAGAAGTCGGAATTCTGGGAGTCAGGTCCAGGGAAATCCTCCCTCTCTCTGTGGGCTCTAGGGGAAGGTCCTTGTCATCAATCTTCCCCTGGTCTAGGAGCTTCTCAGCACAGGGACCCTGGGTGCAAAGGACGCACTCCACTCCTGGCACTTCTTCCTTGGTGGTATGAGGTCCCTCTCCTCGCTGCTCACTTTTCTCTTTTATGTCTCAAAGGAGATTGATTCAAGATACAACCTAATCCTATAGATTGAGTCCCGACTCATTCACATAACTGCCTCTAATCCTGCCTCATTAACATCATAGAGGTAGGATTTACAGCACATAGGACAATCACATCAGATGACCAAAGGATGGACAACCACACAATACTGGAGATCATGGCCTAGCCAAGTTGACACACATTTTTGGGGGACACAGTTCAATCCATAACACAGGGAGGTCCCCGGGTGGTGCAAACAATTACTGTGCTTGGCTGCTAACCAAAAGTCTGTTGGTTTGAGTCCACCCAGAGGTGCCTCAGAAGAAAGGCCTGGCAATCTGCTTTCCAAAAACCAGCGATTAAAAACCCGATGGAGCATAGTTCTACTGTGATACACACGAGGTCGCTGTGAGTCAGCATTGACTGGACGGCAACTGATTGGGATTTTTTGAGGGTGGGAGGAAGCCAATGGGAGTGGTCTGCCTTGGTGGCAGGCAATATCAGGAGGCATTGTCTCTAGGGAGTTTGAAAACACAGTAAAGGTGACTAAATGTCTGTCTGCATTTTAATATCACCATGCACTGGCAATTATCAACAGTGTCAGTAATAAAATAACTCCTGTGACTGCAGACCACCGCCACGGCCCACCTTTGAATGGCCGCTGCTGATAGGCAAATGGAGATCTGCTTTAGGAAAAGGAGTCGGGTGACCCCGAAACTCTGTAACTGGGAGAGTTCGGAGGACGAGTTTTGTCGTTTGAAGCAGAGTTGTGGTCCTGTCTTCACCCAGCTCCTGCCACTCTCCATCTCAAACCATGTGAGTGTTGGTGACCCCCTTCTGGAAGACTGCCAGCACGTTTCCCAATCTGACACCAGTGAGAACTCTAACCCAGCTCTGAACAATTCCAGTCCTCTAAGGAAAGTAGCGATTCTGTCAGTCCCAGAACCCAGAAACATCACTTTTCAGTAACAGTGAATCAGCACCTTCCCAAACGTTATGGATTGAATTGTGTCTTCTAAAAATATGTGTTGTAAATCCTAACCCCTATGACACAGTGTTAAGCACTCAGCTGCTAACTGAAAGGTCATCGGTTTGAATCCACCATCTGCTCCTGGGGAGAAAGATGAGGCAGTCTGCTTCTGGAAAGATGGCAGCCTTGGAAACCCTGTGGGGCAGTTCTACTCTGTCCTGTAGGGTCACTGTGAGCTGGAATGACTCCATGGGAATGAGTTTTTTAGGGTATACCTCGAATGGGCTGTCTCTGTTATGTGAATGAGGCAGGAGTAGTGTAGGGTGTGTCTTGAGTCAATCTCTTTTGAGATATAAAAGAGGTTGAACAAGCGAGCAAAGCAAGCAGAGACGGGGGAAGAGAGAGGCCAAGCCACGTGAAGCAGAAGCTCAGAAGAAACATGGACTCCTCTCTAGAGCCGACAGAAGGAGAAAGCCTTTCCCTAGAGCCAGCGCCCTGGATTCAGACTTCTAGCCTCCTCAACTGTGAGAAGGTAAATTTCTTGTATTCCTGTTATAGCAGCACTACATAACTAAGACACCAAAGCCCCAAGGGACTCAGCACACAACAGTAACCGCACGGACATAATGTGACACTCACAGGCCCCTCCGTTCCAGGAGGTGATCTGCCCACTGGCTGGGGACAGCATCACGGCAGCCGGGCCGCTGGAATCTGGAGGCCTTATGTACAGGGCTTCTGTTACTCTGGGTGAGTTTTGCTGGCAGCGAGGCTACCTTTTATAAATAGGCTTGAATAAATCAAAGGAATGTGGCTAATCAATGCATTCCCTGATGTTTCTTAAAAACTCTTCTAATTTTTAAAAATTCCGATTTTAAAAAGAAACCATTCCTATTTTTAAAAAAAGCGTCCAGTTTGCTGAGATAAGGCTTGTTTTACGTCCTGCCGTCCGCCCGCCCTCCCTTTCGGCTAGCTCTGCGACTGGAAGGCATTCTAACTACTTGCAAATGCTGTTGGAAGCGTGCTTTCAGTGTGGATGGGATTTAGACCTACAAACACACAGCACCGAAAAGCTGATGCCGGTGCGGATGTGACTCAACAGAGAGTCAAACCTCCAGTGCAGGGTCAGACTCAGTGCCTCTTTTTATTTAGAAAAAGAAAACAAAACTTTTCTTGGCGCTAAGTGTCTGCTGTTACATTACAACCCCAGTAAGTGTGCGGAGGGCGTCGTCCGCGTTGTGCTCAGCCACTGCTCGAGTTGCCCTCGCGACGGCTCCAGGTGCACACCATGATAATGGAGCGGGTGGGGACGCGCCTGTAACCTGGCTTCTGCCCTGCTGCTTGCGCTAACCTTGAGGGGCCGTCATCGCATACTGAAGGACGGTACCTGGGCGACTGGCCCTGGTAATGGTCGCAAGTGATCGATGTGATTGGTTTTATTGAATTGTGCACATGAAAAACGTTGAATTGGCAAATGTGTTCTTTATATTTTTACAACAAAAAAATGTAAAAAAATAGCAAGACCGAAAAAGCACAGTGCCAAGGCCTACCAGCCCCAAAGCTGACTGTAGTCTTGAGATCCTCAAAACCTTTCCTTCCTTCAGTCCAGAAGTTTGGCCTCTCAGCTGCTTCTCTGGTTTTGACAGAAAAGCATAGGAATTTGCAGGTTACAGAAAGATGGGGTTTACCTTTGGAAATTATTTTCTTTTGTGTTTTAAGCTAGGGCTTGTGCTCACTGAGTCCAGGATCTGAAGGCCCAGTCAGCCAGCGTGGCCCTGGTGTGTCTGCTGACACCTTTCGGGAAGGCTGAAGGCAGGGGCTTTGAAACATTTTTGATGGCAACCCAGAGTAAGAAAAGCATTTTACATTTTGACCCAAAGTAACACGCATGCCCGTGCACACAACTGGAAAACGAGTGTTTATTTTTAATTACAAAGCGATGTTTATTCTTTCTCCATGTGATGCACTTGGATGTTTTCTAAACTATTCTAGTCTTTTTATTTTTTTCAAACTGCTGGTCTTGACTCGCTAAATTGATTTCATCACCCACTTTGTTGTCATTAGCGGCCATCCAGTCAGCCCGGACCCACGACAGTTCCATGCACAACGAAACAAAACGCTGCCCGGTCCTCCGCCATCCGCATGATTGCTTGCAGATTGTACCATTGTGTGCCATGGGGTTTTCTTCTGCTGATTTTCCAAAGGAGATTGCCAGACCTTTCTTCCTAGTCCTTCTTAGTCTGGAAGCGCTGCTAAAACCTGCTCAGCATCATAGTAACACGCCTACCTCCCCTGACAGACAGGTGGTGGCTGCGCGTGAGGCGCATTGGCCGGGAATAGGACCCGACCCTCCCACATGGAAGGAGAGAATTCTGCCACGGAACCACCACTGTCCTCCATGATCCACCCGCGAGCCCCCAACTCACAGTCTGAAAAACATTAACTTGAGGTGTATCAGGGACCCGGGATTATCCTGCACCCCAATCCAGGAGAGAAAAATGGAAGGAAAACATGAATGAGTGAAAGAAATAAAGGTGGCTGACGGGCTAGTTCACCTTCCCTCTCTGCAGTCTTCCCTTCCTGTCCCAGGCAGGCCAGATGTCTCAGGCATCTAGTGCTGCTATAATGGAAATACCACAAGCGGGTGGCTTTAACAAAGAGAAATTTATTCTCCACAATCTAGTAGGCTACAAGTCCAAATTCAGGGTGTCAGCTCCAAGGGAAGGCTTTCTCTTCTCTGTTGGCTCCGGGGGGAGGTCCTTGTCATCAGTCTTCTCCTGGTTGAGGAGCTTCTCAGTGCAGGGACCCCAGGTCCAAAGGACAAGTCTTCCTGGTCTTCTTTCTTGACAGTAGGAAGTCTCTAACTTTCTGCTTGCTTCCCTTTCCTTTGATCTCTTGTAAGATAAAAGGTGATGCAGGCCACACCCCAGGGAAACTCCCTTTACATTGGATCAGGGTTGTGACTTGAGTAAGGGTGTTACATCCCCCCTTAATCCTCTTTAACATTATCTAATCCTGCCTCATTAACCACAGGTAAAGATTAGGATTTACAACACATAGGATAATTATATCAACCACAAAATGGAGGACAACCACACAGTTCTGGGAATCATGACCTAACCAAGTTGACACATATTTTTGGGGAACACAATTCAGTCCATGACACCAGACAACCCGAGCAGCTCCGTCAGGTTGGCTCTTGTTTGCTGTAGACTTGGGTGCTTCTTTGGCTGGAAGATGTGCCTGTTGGCTGAGTGGTTGCCATTTCAGAGTAGGAAAAACCAGGGCAGAGGGTGATGGATTGGGGCCCACATTTTTTCATGACTTTCTTTTCAAAAGGAGCGCTGGTGGCACAGTGATTAAAGTGCTTGGCTGCTAACCGACATGTCAGGGACTCAAACCGACCAGCCGCTCTGTGGGAGAAAGATGTGGCAGCCTGCTTCTGTAAAGGTGACAGCCTTGGAAACCCTATGGGGCAGTTCTACTCTGTCCTATAGGGTGGCTATGAGTCGGAATTGACTTGAAGGAGTGGGGTTTGGGTTTTGATTCTTTTCAGAAGGCTGGACTGGGGAGGGGGCACAACACATGCGAATCAATGACCGTGGTCCACGTTATATTTTGCTTGGTTTTTATTTTAAAACGTTTAAGATAAATGACAGGCCAGAAGATATTCATGACATTTAAGAGACAAAAGTTAGCGTCCAGAGTATGTAAAGGACTCCTATAAACAGTTTTTAAAAATCCAGTGTGCACATTGTTAGTTCGCAGGGGCCTGGTCTGAGTAGTAACTATATTTACACATTAACGCTCTTAGAACGTGCCTGGTACAGAGGAACTGCTCGATAAGTGGCTGCTGTTAGCTGGCATCGAGTCGGCCCCCCACTCATGGTGACTCACGCACAGCGGGATCAAACCATTGTGATCCACAGGGTTTTCGTGGCTGATTTTCAGAAGTAGATCACCGGGTCTTTCCTCCTAGCCCTTCTTAGTCTGGAAGATTCACAAACCTGTTCAGCATCGTAGCAATATGCAAGCCTCCACTGACAGATGGGTGGTGGCTGTGCATGATGTATACTGGCTCCAAATCAAACCCAGGTCTCCTCCATGGAGGCGGGGAGAAGTCTACCACTGAACGACCAATGATCCCTCAATAAGTGTTGTTGTTGTTAGGTGCCATCAATTCTATTTTTGACCCATAAGAACCCATTGTGACAGAGTAGAACTGCCCCGTAGGATTTTCTGGACTGTAATCTTTATGAGAGCAGATCGCCAGGTTTTTTTCTCCCAAAGAGCTGCTGCGTGGGTTTGAACTGCCAACCTTTTAGTTTGCAGCCTAGTGCTTAACCATTGTGCCACCAGGGCTCCTTCAATAAATGTTAGCTATTATTACTTTTAAAATATCTTTAAATATTATTTTAACATTTATAATGTATAATACAATGTTTACAGTATAATCTGTTTAATATTTTTAATAATCGAGGTATAATTTACATTGCATAAAAATCACCCATTTTAGGTGTACGATGCAATGATTTTTTAGTAAATTTTCCAAGTTGTGCAGCTGTCATCACAGTCCAGTTATAAAACATTTCCGTCATCTCAGAAGTTCCCTCATGTCCATTTGCAGTCACTCCCTGTTTCCACCCAAAGCTCTAGACAACTACTAATCTACATTCTGTCTCCATTGATTCACCTTTTCTAAATATGCCCTGTAAATAGAATCATATAACATGTGACATTTTGTGTCTAAAGTGTTAGCTATTATTATTTTAGAAAGTCAAATTGTTATTAGACTTTTTATTAGTGGAACACTTTATTTTAAACAAAAATCTTATTTTCTTCAGCAGTGCATTTGTAATGTCAGCTCTCTCACATTGCAAAAAAAATTTTTGCAATGGCAAGCGGATTAAACGAGTAAACAAACCTTTTCCTAAATTCTTTGGGAACGAAGTGCCACCTTCACCTGGGTCCTAGGTTCAGATTGCCCTAACCTAGGATGTGCGATCAACCTGAGAGGTCATCTGCTCCTGGATTGCCAGATTTGGGGCACGCTTTTCATACTTCTGAAAAGAGGGATTCTTTACAGACACAGTATCTGGTGTCCGCCCTTTTCCTAGAAAAGGAAATATTTTTGCCTTTATATTGTCTCTCCCTTTTAAAATGCATAAACGAGGAAGATAGAAAGCTGCTGGGGTCTTGTGGTGAGGTGTAACGGTTCTCACCGGAAGGTTTAATGCTTTCATTAGGCAACTGTTCATCTTTACCTGTGTGGGCGCCCCAGCCCCAGGACCACAAGCCAGTCTTTGAGAAAAGGCTCCTTTCAATTAAAGAATGTGTAATCACAGGTGGGGAGAGAAGGAGACTTCCCAGGCCACACTGAGGACCTACACCAGTGATTCTACCTTCTTCAACCTGCCATTTCCCCTCCTTTGGCACCTTAGAATAATCTCTGCCATGTGTGCGCTTGTGGAGAGGCTGCTACCCACCTCCTCCTGCGGAGGGCTTTGTTTCCCAGGGTCAGTGACATCATGGCGGGCAGGACCATCCCATTTCCCCCTTCTGAGGGTGCAGGCCCGGGGGGATAAGCAGCCAAGACTTGGGGGGTGCGCACAGGTTCTTCCGAGGGAAGCTGATGGTGTCGCCAATTTTTATTTCTGCTTCAGATGAATTCAAAAACAAAACCGTGTGTGAAGACCAGGAGCTGAAGCTGCACTGCCACGAATCCAAGTTTCTCAACATCTATTCAGCAACATATGGCAGGAAGACCCAGGAGAAGGACATCTGCTCCTCGGACTCAGAGCGCTTCTCCCCCGTGGGTACGTGTTTCTATGTGGTTATAACTAGGCTGCTGTCTGAGTGGATCAGAGTCCTGACCCCCTCAGGGACCAGTACCTGGATCAATGGTGAAGTCAAGGGCGGATTAGAGGGAAGCCAACGGCAGATTAGCGGGAAGTCCAGGGGAGACTAGAGAGAGAAGTCAGAGGAGGGTTAGAGGGAAATCAAGGAGGGATTAGAGGGAAGTCAAGGGGGGATTAGAGGGAGGTCAAGGGGGGATTAGAGGGAAGTCAACGGGGGATTAGAGGGAAGTCAAGGGGGTATTAGAGGGAAGTCAAGGGGGGATTAGAGGGAAATCAAGGGGGATTAGAGGGAAGTCAAGGGGGAATTAGAGGGAAGTCAAGGGCGGATTAGAGGGAAGTCAAATGTGAATTAGAGGGAAATCAAGGGGGTATTAGAGGGAAATCAAGGGGGGATTAGAGGGAAGTCAAGGGGGGATTAGAGGGAAGTCAAGGGCGGATTAGAGGGAAGTCAAGGACGGATTAGAGGGAACAAGGGTGGATTAGAGGGAAGTCAGATGTGAATTAGAGAGAAGTCAAGGGGGGATTAGAGGGAAATCAAGGGGGGATTAGAGGGAACTCAAATGTGAATTAGAGGGAAGTCAAGGGGGGATTAGAGGGAACTCAGATGTGAATTAGGGAAGTCAAGGGGGTATCAGAGGGAACTCAAAGATGGATTAGAGGGAAGTCAAGGGGGGATTAGAGGGAAGTCACGGGTGGATTAGAGGGAAATCAAGGGGGTATTAGAGAGGGAAGTCAAGGATGGACTGGAAGGGAAGTCAAGGAGGGATTAAAGAGAGAAGTCATGGGGTTATTAGAGGGAACTCAAAGGTGGATTAGAGGGAAGACAAGGGGAGATTAGAGGGAAGTCCAGGGAGGATTAGAGAGGGAAATCAAGGGTGGACTGGAAGGGAAGTCAAGGGCAGAGAGGAGCCATTGCCCCCCCACGCCCAGCTCAGAGCCTCTTTTGCCCCACAGTCAGGAGTCCCTCAGTTGTTCAATCATTCCACCAAAACCCACAAACCAAACCCGTTGCCCTCCAGTTGATCTTGACCAGTGTGTTACAGAATAGAACTGCTTTATAGGATTTTTTTGGCTGTGATCTTTATGGAAGCAGATTGCCAAGCCTTTCTTCTGTGGTGCCGCAGGGTGAGTTTGAACCGCCAACCTTTAGGTTGGTTCTTGTTGTTTCAGTTGCCATTGAGTCGATTCTGACCCACGGCGACCCTGTGTGTGCAGAGTGGAACTGTTCTCCATAGGGGTTTCAATGGCTGTGACCTTTCAGATGCAGATCGCCAGGCCTGTCTCCTGAGGTGCCTCTGGGTGGGTTAGAACCGCCAACCTTTTGGCTGGTAGTCAAGCACAAAGCGTTTGCACCACCCACACCAAATAGATATTGAGTGTCTGCTGTATGCGGGGCCCTGTCCTAGGCGTGGGGAAGTCATCAGTGACCAGTACAGAATCTGTGTCCTCCTGGAGCTAAGGTTCCAGCAGCGGATGGGGAGCCCGCCAGGAAACAAATAATAAGTGAGTTAGTATGTACGTCAGGGTGGTACAAACAGTTAACGCACTCGGTTCAGGAGCCTCAGAAGAAAGGCCTGTCGATCTACTTCCGAAAAAAAGTCAGCCAGTGAAAACCCTGTGGAGCACCGTGGTCTGATCTGTTGTACATGGAGGTACCATAAGTCAGGGCCAGCCTGACAGCAGCTATCAACAAGATGTCTTAGTGGGTACGGATTTGTGCTAAGGAGGAGAGCAGGTGGGGGAAGGGCCTATGGAAAGGAGGTGCAGTGTTACGGAGTGAGGAGCGCACTGAGCAGAGACTTGAAGGAGCCCGCGGGTACCTGGGGGGAAAGTGTTTAGGTAGCGAGAAGAGCCAGTTCAAAGACCATAGCCAGCATGCTCAGGGTGGCTCAGCGTGCTCAGGGTGGCTCAGCGTGCTCAGGGTGGCTCGGCGTGCTCAGGGTGGCTGGGTG